GTAAATTACAATCGAATATAATTATAAAATTGTAAGACAAATACTTTAATTAATATATTTCTTATTTATTCAATTTTGTCGAGAACCAATTTTTGGGCTTCATAAATTCTTCGACAAGATATCGTGAGTAATTCTTGCTCTTTAGATGTGTACAACAAACGAATAAAGGACTGTACACCGTTTCTTCCTACTATACATGGTAATGACATAAAAATATCCTTTTCCAGTCCGTGTCGGCAGCCCTAAAATATATTTTTGGTCAAGAAAAGACAGTTGTTATATATGGAAATATATTTATAATTTAAGTTTACAAATAAAAACGTTAAGTATTTTGAAATATTAGTCTATTTCTATTTAACTTTTATTATACAGTAAAGAATTAATACTGCAATTATATGTGATATGAGGTAAAATGTAATAAAAAAAGTATATAGTATAGTTTACAAGATTCGATAAATGGTATTGCTTAACAAAAGTTTAAATAATAGTCCCACAATTAAACTTATCGCTAGACCTTCACGAACGTAGAGACAGTAAAACAGGCACAAGTATTGCGCACGATAGCATCAACAATTTCGCTCGTACAGATTCCGACTCCCCAGCTATGGTAACCTTTCTTGGTGATCAACTCGTTATCGCTATTAATGACCTTCGTATGTAAATCCCTCCAGGATTCTGGATCTGTTTTTGTGCCGATCTCTTTATTTATGTCTTTTAAAGGCATGCCCATTACCGCAACAGCTGACCAGATCGGCACTAACATATTAAGATAAAAATATAATATATTAAACAGATATGTTAAAATAATAAAGAAATAGATTACATAAAAAAGGAAGGAAGTGTTTATTATGATTTACAATATTTTAATGTTAAATTACCAGAAGTCGGTCCACTTTCACCGATAATTAATGCTTGAATCGCGCTTGCTGAAATTCCGAGTTTTTGAGCGATGAAGTACTGAAATCTGCAGCTATCTAGAAATGTTCCTAGTCCTAGAACACGATTCGGTGGAAATCCAGACAGTTTCATAGCAACGTACGATAGAATGTCAACTAAATAAGAAAATTGAAATAATAATTCAAGTATCGTAATATCGTTACACAAGTTATAATATATCTAAAGATAAGAAAATATTTTGATACAGACGTAATTGATACATTTATTCTCATCTGTCAAGTATATAAATTTTTTATTAGAAAAATTAAATGACATATGTGCCATTTCTGATGGCATAAAGACGTTAAATATAGTAACAAGAAGCATACCTGGCTTCGAAAGAATGAGAAGAACGCTGTTCGGCGCGTACTTGGAAACGTTCGGGATGACGTCCTTGAAAATTTTCAGATTATGCTCTAGATAATCGGCCGGTTGCTGATCTTCACGAGACTGGCTTCCAACTGTGATCACGCATACCGCTGCGTCTCTGGCATAAGCGTAATCTATCGAAGCGTAATACACGCTGGATGATTTATCGTTTGGCGCAGACTTTTATTTGTTTCCACGTGCCTTTTGAGGAAAAAATTCTGAAGAAGATAGAAAACTCATTCTATCTACTCTCAAAAGCCGCGGAAAAAATTCAAGAACTTTCCGAGTTTCCACTTTATCCACGTTATTATCATTTATTATCAATTGCTACTTAATTTCTAGATATAACATCACTCGTACGTCGCTTATCGCGCCACGTTGAGTGAAATCACCACGCGGTTTACCTCAATTTTATTAGCGTCTTAAGATGTCTCAATGCACAGGCAATAATGCGTACGTACGTCACCTCTTGCGACCTTATCGCTAATCGCTAACCGCATGATTTACTTATCCAAACATTAAAGCACAGTTGTTCCGAGATAATTGCTCGTTACTCGCGGACAGTGTAATGACGGTAATGGCTATTTTTCCGCAGTCCCCACCCATCAGACTTCACCTTTGGTACCGACAATCTTGGGATTGCCGAGGTACGCCGCTGCATGGCTGATGTCTTCTGCTTCCGCCTTAGCGAGATCCTCGTTCACGTCTATAAGGACGAGCTCGGAGGCGAGGCGCTGCGAAAAATCAAAGAGGGATGAACAGTAGAGCAGGGCAGCAAGCAGAGAAGCTAAAGAGTAATTAACGGTAACCGGTCGCTGCCCGGCGGGCAGCGTTATTACGCGCTTCGAATCATTACGCAATGAGAGCATCAGGGACTTCCCTCCTCCTCCCCCGGGGAATCGCATTAAGATACAAGCGAGTGCGCGATTAATCGCGCCGTTTGCAAAGTCTCCTAATGCGAGGAATCGTTAAGATCCGATCAAGGAACAGCGTCGAGAAGCGCGCCATTTTCGGGAGGATCCGCTATATCTGTTTCGCTTCGTACGGTCACCGTTGACTGCCGTACCTGGTGACACAAACAACATCTTACGCGGAGCGATAACTCATTCATGAATAATTATGGGGGACCGGTACGGCTTCTTCTCGCTCGGCTCTTTTTTTTCTCTATCTTCCGTTCTACCTCTGGCAGCCGCCGCAAGATTTTCGGCCGTAGCATGTTGCGATCGTATTCCTCATGGAATGTCAAACGAGCATGAAGAATGCTTCTGTGACCCTCTGTCCACACGCGCTTCATTTTTCTTCCACAATTATGATTTTCTCGTGAACTTTTTAATTTCATTAACGTAACGCACACACATACAGAAGTAAAGGTAACATTATACCGTAGAGTGTGGCAAATGGCGCGGCAAACGAGCGCTATAAAGGACCGCTGGTAATCTATATTCGTTTTTGAACGATGGATCATTAAGCTTCGAAGGTTCGGTTCTGAAGACTAGTTCTAATTTGTGCAGACTAATTTGTAGTATAATGAGATATTCGGACAATCATGTAAATCACCTCGTAAAAGTTAATGGGCATTATTCTTCTAGGGCCATACCGCATACAAACGTTTTTGTGGTAACAGCAACTGATCGATGCCATATTAAATATCGAGACGCTCGCACTCGAAGAAACGGACATATTGTTCCCTGACAGATGGTGCTTTTATATTTCACGTTAAGACAAACGCCGAGTTAACTACAAGGCGGCTTCTTAATATGTTACGTTGCACTCCCGTGCTTCCGATCTGTTATTGTACACCACTTAATTATCGTACTTCATCAAGCGTGACTTCCGAAAGGTATAAAATATCGCGAGCTGTTGAATTTCTGACTAAATCCATCACTTTCATTGTTTTCACAATAAGATTCGTTTAATTTGTGCTTATATTTTTATGTAAAAGAATTATCAAACATTACAACATTCGGCATAATTTTAAGTAATGTTTGTATAAGTGTATATTACAATATAATTATTTTAAAATAATCAGATTTTTTTCATATTAATTTTGATTCTATATGAATCTTTGACAAAATTAAGTCTCTCGTATCTTATATCTCCTTTCTTCCTTTTCTGTATAATTTTTTATACATATCATAAAACTTAATAATTTCTTTTAATCAAAATACATCTCTTTTTAAAAAAATATAAATATTTCTAAATTTTCTTTTGCAATATATTTTGTACAGAAGAAGATCATTAAGAATATTTCATGCAAAAAAAAAAATAATAAAACATGCGTGCAACAATTTAGCGATCTTCTTATAAGAAGATATATCTTTCATATTAAATGCCGACGTCTAGATTAGATGTCGTAGGATATACAAGCGACGTATCTTTCTATATTTTTATCTGGAATAATTCGTGCAGCTTGATATCCAATATGGTAAATTGCAATGGAACGAAAACAGAGAGAGAGCAAGAAGAAAAGAGATGACTCGCACACATACTTGTAAAGAATTTACAATAATTTACAAAAAGAGTAAGTCAAGTAAGTCTACAAGGTGGACAGTTAACCGTAGCGGTGATCTCGTTGATGCAATCTGCCAAACTACAACAAGAAATACAACAGCAAGCTTAGTAATATCTTTCGCTTCTTGTTCTTCTTATCTTTCTTATCTATCTTTCTTCTTCTATCTTTTTTTACAACACCGAACAATCAGTAATCAGATTTTTATAATCATGTTGAATAAGCGAAATTTCGAGTCCCGCAATTAGCATAAGTGATCAATATTGGTTAGAAATACACATTTCTAATTTTCACATTTCTAATTTAAAAACTGAGAAAGAGAAGATCATTTGTCAAGGAAGTCGACAACAACAAAGCACCTTTGAAGAAATCCATGGCATTAATTTGAAATAAAATGCGAGTAATTTTCCTTAAAAACTGTTATCGTGTGCAATAACGAGGTCCTTAATATTCTAATTATTCTGACTTCCTCGACAATATATAAATTTCATTATTATTTAGTCTTTCGATATACACCATAAGACCGTTTCAACGAGAAGTCTATTATCCGTCAGTTACGCCCTCCGCGTCGCATCACATGCACATACCATTGTTTGCCCTCGTAAATTTGCGGAAACCGAAACCTAGAATTAGTCGCCCACGTTTATTACTCTACCGGAATGTACTCGGCATATGGATATAACAGTGTTGTACACTTGCAACGTCGCAATCCACAATGTATTCCATCTAACTGTTAATTTTCCTCCTTGATGGGATGAATAATAGGCACAAAATTATACAAAACAATACAATAGCTTAAACAATACAATGGCAATATACGGTTTCATTTAGAATGTTACAAACAATTTGACATTTCTCGCATTTTCCGTTATTATATTCAGAGCATCAGTTAAGACCGAGAAAAAAAAAAAATACATTTGCATCTATATGCAACTGTCAAATTTCTAGAAAGTTTCTAAATGCATATTTCGTAGAAGCATGGATCGATTACTATTACATAATAATACTATTTGTATGCGCATTTCGCAGGGATCTCGGGTGAACGGTGTTATAAATTGCAGTCTTTCTTCGTGGTTACTAACATAAATCAATCGGTTAGAGTCGTCCTGCGGGGGCGCATTGGCCGACGTGTAAATGCTCGCGTTACGATCCGATAACGAGCGAAAGGTTCGGCCCACTTCTCTACATCTTCTGTCATCTTCTTCCTGCCATCTTCCTCCCGCTTTCACGTTCCGCTCTGCTCCCTCCTATAGTCGAATTCCCTCTTCTGGTCTTCCGTGGATCATTTGCATAATAGCCTTTTTGAGCCGGCACACTAACGAGCCTACATTCAGAACTCATCCCTCCTGCATGTATACTCACATATGAACCTACACATGTCGGTCAGGACATTCTTTGGCCCCATCGTCCTTTGTTGGGTGCAACTCGAGGGTATCTCTCGAGATCTGCCAACGTGGGGCATTATATCTTTGATCCCTCACGAACAAATATGAATTACGTGCTTGAGTCATGTGGATATCGGCGCTATGTCTCATTTACATGAAACCATTATGGATGTATTTAGATTGACGTATCGACATTATCCTATTACCTCATGGAATAAGATACGGATCGATTACGCGTACGTGCGTTGATCAATGTGATACGTTTCTCGCAATATATAAATGTATATTAATAAAATATAGTATGACGTTGACTTATATGAATTTTTTTACAAAGTAATTTATGAAATTATTCCTAATATTATTTCCACAATTAACAAGAAATATAAAAAGTGTGTTTTTACATTAAAATTATTACTGAATATAAATTAATTTATAAATAAATTTATATTTGCATTTTAATATCGCAAAATTTTTTTTATCTATGTATATGCAAGTATATTAATAAATAATATTGTATAGTATTGTTATATCATACGTAGAAATAAAATAATTCAATCGCTATTAAAAATATTGCATTAAAAATTAACCTAAAATATCAAAGTGATACGAAAGGTTAGAAATAAAAGAGAAATAGAAAATTTAAATAAAATAACTTAAAATAGAACTAACTTTAAATAGAATCGCTATGGCGACCGCAACACCTTTGGGCGTACTGCCGACAACGACGACCTTGACATGATGACTATCCACAAAATGTTCTGCCTGTTTGGTCAGTAAAACAGTAACTGTGGTGTCGGCGAGTTCATGTGATTTTTTTCTCGTTTCTGTCATATCCGATATACCAATGCTTCTCAGCTTTGAGATGTAACACTAAATAATTTAGACAAACCAAAAATCACTTGGCATTGTGACTATTTCTCTAATTGAAACTATTAAATTTGACTCTTTGTATTAAAATTTATACAAGACAGGATGCAGAAGATCTGAAGAAGCAGATAGTCGAAAAAGATATTTTTGACAGGAGGGCAATGAAGTTGACGACGGATATGTAACGAGTAAATTTACTGTCGACTCGAAATCACTGAAATAAAATATGCAATGAGATGGTTATATTGGTTTTGTATTATCAAACGAAAGAGAACTCCCTTCGTCTTTCCTGTCCGATCTCGTACGCTCATAATGTACTATATGTACAAGATGTGAACCTCAAGTTATCTTGTAGCAGGAGATATACAATCCGATTAACACGTTCGATCACGAACGAAAAGATGCTATCAATAAATCCAATCGTGCCGTACAGAATCAATTATAGTCGGGAAAAATGCTCGTTATAAAAAGATAAATGCTTGGGGCAGATGTAGAGACGAATCGCCAATTCGCCAATTGGACGCATCGTTTTTGCTATAGTTTTCATTTTTCAGGGAATAGAAGATCGACAGCTGTTCGAATCGCACAGGTGGCATGCGCTACGTTCCTAAAGAGATACTGCCAATTTCTGTTTTACAAGATATTTGAGAAGGGGTCGAGAAAGATTCCTAGAAATTATTGTCTCTTATTTCTTTTTTATAAACCTCACTATCCGGTTCGTTATTTTTTTATTAAGACAAACACTTATTTGTTTATTAAGACAAACATTTCATTTAGATAATAAAATCAATTTTAGATTATTCCAAACAACTGGATCTATCTAGATAAATTGTATACATTTGAAGCACGTATGTATAT